ATCCATTGGATTGTATGTATCACACACCAAAAGGGATTAGAATGCTATTCAGTTGAATCAACGAAAATTGTTCATTCCACGCGATTAACGCGATCAATTTAATCGTGTGTGTGTTTTTTTTTTCTTTTTTTCGTCCCAAGCTCGCGAAGCTTTTTTTTCGTCACACTGCTTGCGAACCAAACTTTTCTATTTACACTCGAGGACGTTGTACACTCGTTAACAACAGTTTCTAATGAGCTCTCGTGGCAACTACTCTGCATAACAAGCTTTGAGCTAGGAACACGTTTCTGCTCCTAGCTTGGGAATAATTGAATGAAAGAACGTAACCGAAAGTTTCTCCTACTTTGACAACAATGCACGATTCAGGTAGATGAATATCCGCGTTTCGAAACCCCCTGCGTGAGCGGGCATATATTAGCAGAATCGAAATTGAATTAACGAAATACGGATAGATGCGAGGGATAAAACTGAAACACGCATCACTGTGCATTTCGACATGCGCATTTCTCTCTCTGACTTGGGCTTCGCTTCACACAACGAGAGTTCCCGCTCGATCGATGTGTGTCCCGGGGCTTTACAAGGTTATCCAGGCTAAATGAACCAGAAGACGAAATTTAAACGCGACCGCTGCTTGCGAAGTTTGCCAGTAACAACGAAATTCCAAGAATTACTTGGATTAATTTATTTGAAAAAAAAAAAGGACAAGGCTGTACACAATCGTGAAGAATTATTCAACGAAGAATTATTCGATTAAGTGAAACAGAAAGATCACGAAGAACATCACGAATATAAAAAGATGAATAACGAAATGGGGAAAACGAAGAATATAAAAATATGACAAGACTAGAAATCGTAAGAATATGAAGACATAAAATCACTATGGAACACAGTAAAAAGAAAAAATACAGAAACGAATGTGAAGAAGATGAAGAACTGTAGAAAATCGTAGAGAATGCAAAAGCATAAAAGAATGGAACACATTACACACAACAAACGAGAAAAACCAGTGGAGAAACAAAATCAACCTTCAGATGAAAAAAAAAAACCTAGAACGAATTATAAACAAAGCAAGAACATGAAAAATTTAAAAAGAAAATTATGTAGAAGAATAGAGGAGAAAGTCCACTGATTTCTTGAGCTGGCAAACCTCAGTAAAATCGACCTCGAGAACGATGAAAATTATAAAGAATCACAAAGAACGCAAGAAGATGAAAAAAGAAATTAAGAATTAAATAAGAGAGAAAAAGAGGGAGAGAGAGATCATAGAAAATACAAGCGAGAAAATCCAATGAAGAAGAGAGGAGAACAAGGTCAACTTGTTTGTTAGCTGCGGATGAAAGTAGGGGTCACAACCGACGAGATGGATGAAAACCTATGTAAAAGCTGGCTGTTTCCGGTCTTGCGCATCTTCCGCCTCGTGCTCCTATCACTGGTTGCTCTCACGAACACCAGTGAACAACGGGGATGTGGCATGAAGTACTAACTGGCACATTATAGGTAGAAACCCCCACCTGTGGACTGGATGATAAGCGACCGATGCCTCTGCGCCTGCGACCACTCCGGCGAACCCCTATATATATAGCATCAACCCTTGCCGCGAAAATCAGAAATCGCTGGAACCGAGTCGCGGCGTGGCATCGCACAACGAACATTCCCTCCATTCCTTTTGCTCTATCAATACCTCCTCTATCCTGACTCTATAAACTTTGAAACTTTCGAGAAGGAAGTATCGAGGAAGTGAACACGATCGAAAGGGCAAAAAGGTGCATTATCGACGAACGAGAGATCGAGAATAAACCAACAGGTGGTCTATATCAACCAAGTTCACGATAATTGTCAAAGATACTTGAATACCTGCGCTTCATTTGTTACTATTATAGACAAAGTCAAGCCTGTCGAACCGACTCGAAGGCTCGTATCGAACCTTCTTGCGAGCCATGAGAATAGAGCCCTTTCCATATCTCTGCTCTTCGTTCTCTGTTTCTTTCTGCCCCGGACTGTGTTGTTGCACAAGCCCCTGTCGTTTGCTTAAAATTGAAAAAAAAAAAAAAAAAAAAAAAAAAGAAATTAACGATTAATGGTTGAGAGACGCCGTCGAGGTGCAGTCACGAATCATGGAAAGCTGAATTATGGATTGCGAGAATGCACCTATACATGATAAAGCGAAACTGACAAAGTAATGGACGTAAAATGGACGAAAAATCAGTTAGGGCTTTGGAGGAAAAAAAGAAAGGGGAACTCGTGTGGCTCGCGGAGGGGAAGATGTTCAACAGGCCTGGTCTAAGTATTCTCAGTCACATAATCATTCGATTCGTGTTCGATGTCAATTAATCGTACGATCACGAGAATTTGCAACGCTACGAAAACGAAACGTAGAATATGTCTGAAGAGCGTCTTTACTTTCACTGATCCATCACATTCATCAAATTCCCTTCACCTCGAGGCATTTGATCACGTTTGAGTAAATGATTTCTGTTGTCGAATGTTCAGATGAAATACCTCGGACGACAAAAAGTGTGAGAACAAGATCAGCTCATAAATCAGCATTGGTAAGTACTTTACGAACAGTATCGAACAATTCTCCAAGAAATATTCACTAAAGAACTGTGCTTGTATCCTAGAATGTCTTTCATCTAAAGATTCCTCATCCTTACATGTTACTCGAAAATAATGGAATCTACAAGTGAGTCGTCAACGAGTTCCCTCATCACCGAATGCGAGCGAAACGATGATCCGCCCGGTTACACGGAAGGAAGTATTCGCGAGCCGAGAGAAGTGTTGCGCGTAATCATCATGGACCAGTTGTCGATAATCCTCATCCACATGAATATCGAACAGAGCAAGGTAACAGTCAAATCCACAACCATGACAAAATTTCACATATTATCGCACAAAGATTACGAACTCTTTCATTTGATCAACCGATCGATCAACGTAAACGCGCTACCAAGTACCTACCAACACACCGAGATCCTGTTCCCCTTTATAAAACGTTTCTCACAGTTTCTGAACACCGACATTCGTTCCATTTCTCAAACTGTGGAGAACATCCTCAGCTCTTCTTACGAAGTTGTCCTGGACTTCAACCTGCGGAAGTTGGTGCAACTCTCGAAGAAGAGGGACAGCACAATTAGAGACGTGATAACGGAGATGTTCTGGCGACCAAGAACAGGGAATAAGTCGAGGAACGAATGTTGGTTCGACTGGGTCGACCAAGGATACGTGATCCCTTCGTACTTAACGTCCACCGACGAATTGGACAACCTGTCCAAAGATTACTTGTGCGACCGCACAATCGAACGATCGTCCAGGAAGTTAATAATGTGGTACTTCTTCGACATAAATAGTACCGTTGGCCAAGACACGTATTCGTTGTATCGAAAGGCGAAGAACAGAGAATCGAGGGGCAAAAGGGCAAACGTTATCCTGATGAAGGACGTTACTATTCTGTGCGACTATACGACAAAATATCACTTGGTTCATGTTTTCCGTTATTCATATAGCGACAGTTTGAAATACAAATTGGACGACAGTAGTATCACTGACTTACTGAGGAATCCTTTGTTACCTACCAAACGACCATTCCCTTTCATAATAAAAAGCTACAGTCCGCTAACCACCAAATATTCGTTTTACATAGTCTACGCGAACAATATTAAAATAACCGATGAAAATTTTTACAGCATGCTGACCATGCTGCGTAACATTTTGCTTGATATGCAAATTAAACGGATCGTGATAGAGAGGTCCGATTCACTGAGTTTGCGCAGGATTTCCAAAATGCTGACGTATATCTTTCGTAATCAGAACATAACTGTGGTAATAGCAGGGGAGAAGAACTGTTAACTTTCAGTGTCATAGTCGAGTAATAGTAATTACTTTTAACAGTAATAACTCTTTATCCTTTTTTTTTTTTTTTAATTATTTAGCTATTTCACTGCATAACAATTCCATTTCGTTGGTAATGTTGCTCGTCCGCTATAGCAAAAGAGTTAATCACAGTGCAAAGTTCCAAGTTGAGAGATAAGTTTGACTGGCTTGTAATTAAATGTCACGTTATCCTTGGTTCAATGGACAGAATTCTTTCGTATGGATGGGCCATCTACTTACAAAATCTTTGTTACAAATTTGTTACAAACGAATCTCGAATCTAAGTGTCTAGGAATAGTTTAGAACATATTTTTGTCAGTTGAAA